GGCCCTAGCCCTCAAGCTATGGGAATGATTTGACCCAGCCCCCCCCCTCAGACCCCATCTCTTCCCCCTCTCCCCTTGCTGCTCTAATGTGCCTGGCCTCCCCCTCCAGGAACTGGCCACTTTCTGCCCCCTCTTCCCCAAAGACAATCTATCTGTCTGTCTCCCTCTCCTCCAAGTCTGCTCAAATCTTATCTGAGGGCCCCATCTGTAACCTCCACCCCCAACCTGCCCCCTCTGCCCCTCACTTTCTCTCCAGGGCACTTGCTGCCACTCAGCGCACTGTTTTGTGTATTTACCATGCTGCTGTCTGTTTCCCCACTAGAACATGAGCTCCATGGGGGGAGTGCAGGGATTCCTGTGCTCTGTGTTCACTGCTGTGTCCCCAGTGCCCAGCACATAGTAGGCCCTCAGTAAATATTTGTTGAAGGGACTGTATAAGGCACTGAGCTAGGCTTTCTGCAGGAACCATATCTGGTTCTGGTTCTTTGGGTTTGACAACTGAGGTGCCCACTACCTGCCTCACCATCTACCCAAATGTTGCCTAGTCGCTTGGAGTCAAAATGAGGTGGCTGGTGGAAAAGGCAGAGGACTGGTCTCAAGTCTTGTTCCCTGCCTCCCACCCTGTCTCTTTCTCCATACTGCAGCCCTTGGAGGGACTCCTGCCTCTTTGCAGTCCTCAGGCCAGGGCACACTGGAATCACCGAAGGAAGGCTCAACTCAGAGTGGCAGGCAGAGATGGAAATGCCCATGCATGGAATCCCAGACTGGACCGATGACTTTTGGTGTGCCCTAACAGTCAGTTAACCTCTCCGGCTGCTTTTCCTTGCTTGCCAAGTACAAGCTGCTGTTCCCCGGGAGCACAGACATAACTCTTGGGTAATCACTCAAGTGCTGAGGGGTGTGCTCAGCAATTTGAGGACATGAGGGGCTGCTGCATGTGTTGTGGCTCTTCTGTAAGCACCTAATGCACTACTAACCTGTAGTTTAGGACCTGGGGAGAAAATGACTCTGTAATAAATAAAATGATGTCTCTGGGCTAGAACAACAGGCATTATATAATTACAGAACAAAGAGCATATTGTTTTCTGGATATGAATACTGGCTACAGAAATCAAATTTACCTCATTGGATGTGAGAAAATTACTTTAAAAATTGATTTATAAGTAGCTCTATAAAACTAAACCTGCAATCCTTCCTCTCCTGAATGTTCTTTGAGATGTGTCTGAATACTGCTGTCAATGCTTGATTGCATCTCTGTAATTGTCTTTTTATGGATGGCCTTTTTTTCCTCTGATGCAGAGGAATGTATTAGTAAAATCAAGGTTTCTTCCAGAAAAAAACAGAAGCCAGATTAGACCATTCTTTGTATCGATGCACATCCGTTTTTGCAAAAAGAGACAATTTTACTTAAAGATGTGGTTTTCGCCTTTTAGAAAGCTATTTTCTAACTATCTGCCCTTAGTAAAGAAAGTAATTAATTGGTACTAAGGTATTAAGCAATAGTTAAGCAGAGATAAGATGGGGGATGTTGTCATAGTGATCCGTGAGAGTCGGGTAGAAGTAATACGAAAATGAGCCATTGGCGCCAAATGTTTAGTGACTAAATGTTAAACACAAGGACTCCAGAGTGATATGAGAGTTTAGGTTGACGAGACTGTCAATGTTACAAGTTAGAACTCAGTTTAGAAACATTTATTCAGAGCTTTTCCAGCTTTGTTCTTCTCAGGAGCATCCCTGGATCTCTTT